GACACAACTAACTGAAGTATAAACAGTTAATATTTTCGTCAATTACATTTCAATAACCGACTGATCATAATCTTGTTTAAATTAATGTCCCAGTATATATTAATATTTAAACAATTTGATCATTGTTTAAAAACTGTTTATAGTAGCCGTTCTTTTGACATATACCTATTTATTTAATGTTTTCATTGAATGCATGATTTTATTTTCACAATGGACCATATTATAGCAATTTAATATAATTGACAGTGATTCTAGAGAGGCCGCGGTGAACAATTTTGTTTCGATTATTATTGTATATATTTTTTTTTTTTTTTTTAATAAAAATGGTCTTATGTCGTTGTGCCAGAATAGGAGCCACATAAAATCTAGAAATAACTGCGGGTGAATCTACCCCCCCCCCTCTGTGCCTCAACACTTGCACTACATGTAATAGTTATATATGGCAGCGAATTTCCCACTGCACGCGGTGGTACACTAAAATCTATAATAATATAATGGAATATGATTTATTTTAAGTTGTAAATGAAATAATATATTATGTAAGATGTATGTTATACGTACCTATGTATAACGACACATGGTATCATGGGCCAGTGTCACCTTGTTGAATTATTTTCCTATACATCACGAACAAAATGTTTTCCGCTGACGTTTCAATGTCACGCGAGAAAGTGTTTTTTTTTATATATATTATATGTATATGCCATTTAATAATTCTCCTCTGTCATTTTATTATTATTATTATTTTACACGTGAAAATTGCCATTTTAATTTTTTTTTTTCCATTATTCGCACACGTCCAATAAGCCGGGCGTGCGCTCGCAAATAATGTGAAACGGAATAATAGTGAAATAATAATAATATGGTCTCTTTTCGATATAGTCAGAAACTCGCCCGCGCAATATTATGCGTATAATATATAAACATAATATTATGTTCAATGACAAAAAACTGATAGACAATACAAAGGAATAAAAAAAATCATATTTTAAATAGTAATAACATACCAATATAATAATATTTAGTGACAGCATTTTTTTTTCATCTTATTTTCGCTTAAAATTGCCGTTTTTCGTCACTGCATCAGTACGTTTATTAATTTCACATTATTTAGCATTAACGTGTCTAATTATTACGATATGATTAATTAAATGTGACTTTATAAATATAATAATATTAAATGTGGCCACTCGCCAAATGTAAAATCTAGACGAACGATGATGCTGTATATTTCCTCATTTCCTAGACAGTACACTGTAGCTATATATAGTTTATCCTTATCCTCAGCTCTTCCAATCACAAGATTTTTATGATTGAATAAAAAATATGTTATAGTCCACATTATTGGTCTGAGTTATTGGAATATATTTGCAAAAAAATGCTATATTTGAAAATTGTTGACGTTGATGCTCATAAATATAAATAATAAATTATACCAGATGCCCTTCTTACCTTTAAATTTTATTATAAATCAACTCACAGTCGTATTAAAATTATAGCGAAACAAAATGGATTCTGCCGAACACAAATTCGCTATGTTATATGCCAAAGGATAGGTTTATAATATTGTGAGGGTGTAGAATTTTCTTAAAAGTTAAGAGTTACGGTTGTAAACTAAAGTTGAAAGCATTCAATGAGATGAGATGATTATACCTGTAGGAGCAATAAATCATTCTCATTCAATTATATCAGTAGAATATTATAAATTGTAATTTACCTCCGTAGTAGACCTGCTCAGAAATAAATAATTAGGATTTCTATTTGTTGTTTGCATTAAAAATGCTCTAAAGTTCAAACGAATTACAAGAAACCTGCAATCTTTCATTGCGTCGATCTTGTTATTACTTTCCAAATGCTATACTCCTTTTGCACTGACATTACAATTTCATCACACGTTCTCCATTTACAGTATTATATTAGGTATAATTGGTACCTTTAATTGCGTTTTCAATTCAAAAAACCGTATCGTGTTATTACATTAATTCAACAAGGATTATGATGAACATATTTTCACGAAACCTGCCGATCCCAAAATATTATATGTATACTGAACAACGCGCAAGTTGTGAACACTAAACGAGTGTGGAAACGTATAGTAATATTTTATCGTTATCACAATGTAGGACGAGTACGATGATAGTATTTTCCAAACGACGTTTTTATATAACTATCATCATTATTATTATAATAATATCATATTAGCCCGCCACCACCGCCTCCGCTCCCTTTTTGCGGTCACAAACACGTTGTTTTAATTGACCCTCGGCCGTCGGGTAATGGATAAAAAAAAATACACTCAATTAGACAACAATGGGGAAATCATGGGTCGACCCCCCACCACCCCCGCCACCACGGCCACAAGCACCCCGAGATGGTGTATTAAAGAACTCTTCTAATAAACACGGCCGAACAGATATTATTATTATTTGTATTTATTTATCATTATTGTTGTTGTTATTATTATTGCTTTTTATTTCATTTTTTCCCGACGTTAATAATATTAATATATATATATATTATATAATAAATGTTTATAAACCATAAGTAGTAGTGGTGCACTAGAATGTGCCCGTATACACATGCACACACACCCACACGCGCTATGCGGTCGTGATTTCCCTTCAATTTTTTAATTTTCCCATATTATAGTATAATATACACAATATAATAATATTAGTCTACGTAATTATAATGCTTCAGCTCATCGTGGAAATAATATTGCAGCAGCGGTTTACTCTACACGGAACAGTATATATCGATAATTTCGTCCATTAATTTTGTACCGTACCCACAATATCATCTAAGTCATTATTATCATCGTCGTCATCGCCCGCGATCGTCGTCATCGTCATTACTATTATTATTATTATTATTACATGTCAAACGCCCCAAATAAATACTCGCGTGGCGCGTTAACTGATTGATGACGTTGTTTTTTCCCTTGTTGTTCCAACATTTTTTTTTCGATTTTTTTTTTTACATATTTCCTTACTATTTATTATAACGACCACGAGGTGGTGCTTCGACTGGATTAGGAGAGCATCACAGACAAACACGATGGTGTTAATACTATATTATTAATTTCGACGGCCGAGTCGATGTTTCAATATACGCGCATATAAGTATAACACTGCAGACACACTGTGTTTATACCGACAGAGAGCTGCATCGAGGTACCATCCAGTAACTTCGATGGAGGTTTTTGAAAGCAGATGTGGTTGGTACTTTTGGAAGTTTGGGAGGTCGAGATTGAAAACTATCAGTATTTTTTTAAATAATCGGAAAAATAAATAAAAATTTGTTAAAACTGTTTGGTAACCTTTATTGTTTGGACCGTCTCCGCTTGGATTGTATTTGATTAATTTTACTTTTTTTTTTTCTAAAAATGTCAAGAAAAAATTATATTCGTTCGGTCAAAAAGTTTAAAAATGTAATACAAAGGTCCCAATAAGTTTTTATTATAGCTATTTGCAAAATATTAACGATACATATAGGCACGATTATTTTTTTTAAGTGGAATATTGGTATTCAAATATAATGTTTTTGCAAAAATGAATTCATTCTGGTAAGAAGTAGGTATATGAATTTACGTCTTACTTAGGTACTATAGTTGATGACAACGAAAAATTTTATTTTTATTTTCATTGATAAATATTTTTAAGAAAAATTAATAATAGGTAATACCGTCCATGTCAGGGAGTTGCTTCAGCTAGTTTCCCCCCCTCCCCCTGCATACGCCAATGACGCTATCACCTAAACATTTCAACTCGATTATCTCGGATTGTATTTGGATTTTTGGGAGAAATATTATAGAGTAGGCAAGTACTATAATATTAATTAGTATATAAATTTCTTATTGCTCATCTACTGTTTCGGGGTTTGGGTTAAATTCTCGTGCCATTTTCTGTATGTTCTCTTGAAATTCTCTAGCTTTCCTACTATCCCTGAGTTTCTCTACATCATACCTGACAATTTCCGGTCTCATATTCCTACTCATTGTTTTTAGCTTAACCCTAAGGTTGCTAGCCACTAGGAAATGGTCTGAGTCGCAGTCAGCTCCTCTGTATGTTCTTACGTCCGTTATGTTATTGGCAAATCTCTCATTTATTAATATATGATCTATTTGGTTTACGTGTCTACCATCAGGTGACACCCATGTCCCTTTATGTATGTTCTTATGCGGGAACATTGTACTCTTGACTTTAAGACCTTTCCCTATGGCCATATCCACAAGTTTTGTGCCATTGTCATTAGTCATGTCGTGTAAACTGTGGGTACCAATAGTTGGTCTATATGATCTCTCTTTCCCTATTTTGGCGTTCATGTCTCCTAGTACAATTTTTATTTTGCTATTACTAATCCCTTCTAGTAGTTGTTCTATCTCAGTATAAAAATCTTCTTTTTCTTGTTGTGATTTGTCCTCCGTAGGTGCATGTACGTTAATGAATACGATATCGAACCATTTAGTCTCTATTTTTAGCAACGCCAGTCTTGGGTTAATTATTCTAAAATCTTTTATCGTTGGTACTATATTATTACGTACCACAAAACCAACTCCATATTGTCCTCTTTCGTCACACCCCCCAAAAAGGATTGTCATATTGCCCATGTCTATACTTCCTGCTTCCTTCCATCTTATTTCCTGCAGAGCTACTACTCCTAGACCATATTTTTCTACTTCCTTAATCATACTTTGTGCAGCACCGGGTTTGTAAAGAGTTCGTACGTTCCAAGTTCCAAAATTAAGTTCCGTGTTTCCGTTTCCATGTCTTTTTCCATTAAATCTAGTCCGAGGCTTGTTCTTAGGATCCTGAACAAAGCATTTTTACGAGGCAGGGTTGTTAGCCCTGCGCTCAACCCCCAACCTGGAGGACCAGACTACCCCAACCACTTAAGGTCAGGGTACGGCTACTGCAGTGTACTGGAGGTACACTGGGCGATGGGAGCGCCACTTTCCCTACGCCCTACTAGCTAGAGAATTTCAAGAGAACATACAGAAAATGGCACGAGAATTTAACCCAAACCCCGAAACAGTAGATGAGCAATGGAAAATAATTAAACATACCCTTAGAAATGTGTCGGAGAAAGTTTTAGGGAAAGCCCATAGAACGAAGAAACCCTGGTTTAATGCTATATGCCAAGAAGCCCTGAAAAGAAGGAAAATAGCAAGAGAAAGATGGTTAAATGATGCTAACAATCAGGAAGAAGAAAGAATCTTTAGAGTTAAAAGGAAAGAAGCTCATAACATTCTTAGATGTGAAAAGAGAAAGTATGTTCAAAATGTAATAAGGGAGGCAGAACAAGATTACAGGTCACACAATACACGGCAGCTATATCACAAGGTAAATAGTTTTAAAGGCGGATATAAAAGACAAGAAAAATTTCTGAAAATGGACGATGGAAGCCTAGTGACAAATCAGGAAAAAATAATGGAGAAATGGGCAGAGTACTTTGAAAAGCTACTCAATTGTGAAGTACCAGTTGATACATTTACATATGGACACAACGAACCCAATGATGATCCCTGCCCACCCCCATCAAAGGAAGAAATCGAACAACAGATCAAAAGGCTCAAAAACCACAAGTCACCCGGGGAAGATGACCTTCAAGGGGAAATTCTAAAGCATGCGGATAGCTCCATGATAGAAAGTATATACTTGTTGATAAAAGAAGTGTGGGAGACGGAAATGTTACCGATAGATTGGGGAGTAGCATACATACGCCCAATACACAAAAAAGGCGACAAGCAAGTCTGTAGTAACTATAGAGGAATAGCGTTGCTAGATACAGCATATAAGGTATTATCATATTGCATCCTAGATAGAATCAAACCTCTGGCCGAACAAGTGGTTGGGGACTATCAATGTGGATTCAGGCAAAATAGGTCAACGACAGATCAGATATTTATAATCAGGCAGTTATTCCAGAAAAGCTGGGAATATAATAAGGAACTCCATGTTATCTTCGTTGATTTTCAAAAGGCGTATGACAGTATAGATAGAACTAGCATAACCGAAATTCTGAAAAATTTCCATTTCCCAAGGAAAATAGTACAATTAGTTGAAGCTAGTATAAGACAAACTAAAGTCAAAGTCAAAGTAGGAAACTCGACATCGAGGATGGTGGAGGTAAGAACCGGACTTAGACAGGGGGATGCCTTGTCGCCAGTACTCTTTAATTTGGTATTAGAGATGGTGATCCGAGAAATGAATATTGGAAGAGATGAAGGAGTAAGAATGGATAGAACTTGCTTTAGTCTGCTCGCCTATGCAGACGATATAGTCTTGCTAGGAGAAGATGAACAAAAAGTGGTAGATTTATGCGGCAGGTTAATAGAATCAGCAAAGAAGGTAGGGCTACATCTCAACATAGAGAAAACGCAGTACATGAAAGTTAGTAGGGAACTAGATAACCTTCAGGAGACCGAAACCATAACAGTTGGCCAGTACGAGTTCAAAAAAGTAGAAGATTTCAAATACCTAGGTACGATTGTAACACAGAAGAATGAATGTCAAATTGAAATTCAACAAAGAATAAAAATGGGAAATAAATGCTTCCATGCACTAGGCAAACTACTAAGCTCGAAAGTCCTGTCAAAAGAGGTTAAAACTCAGCTGTATTTGACAATCATACGACCAATAGTCATGTATGGTTCACAATGTTGGACGTTACGAAAGACTGAGGAGGAAAGATTAGTAGTTTTTGAGAGGAAGGTACTTCGTAAAATATATGGACCTATATATGATCAAGAGCTTCAAGGATGGAGAAAAAGACATAATCAAGAACTGACGGAGCTTTTCAATAGACCAAATATTATAAACGAGATCAAACGGAGTAAGTTGGAATGGGCAGGACACGCAGTTAGGAAGCAAGATTCAATGGTTCAAAGGGTACTCCAAGAAAACCCAAAGAGAAAAAGACCACTGGGTAGACCAAGGCTACGCTGGGAAGATGGAATTAAAAAAGATTTCCTAAGTGCTGGTGGAGCGGAATATGATCACATGGACTGGAAGGAAGTAGCGGAGAATAGAGAAGAATGGGAAAGGATTTGTTCTATGGCAAGATGGTCTCAAAGGCCTTAATAAAAAAAAAAAAAAAAAAAAAAAAAAATAAATTTCTTATTGCTTGTACAATACAATAATTACTTTTTGTTAAATGCAAATGCAAACTTTTTCTACACATTCAGATAGACTTATTTCCCTAAGTATATTTTGTCTAAAATAATGTCTATACAAACAAGTTTCATCTATTCACAAAAAATCATCAAGGTTAGAGTAAGTTGCAATTTCGGTATTTACTTCAGATGATAATATGTCGAAATATTGAGGAATTTAAATTTAAATGTATTATAATTAAACCATAAAAGTAGTATAGATTAACAAGCTAATTCATTTTTTTTTCATTTGCTCTAAATTAGCAAAATAATCGGAATGATCTTGTATAAAATAGTCAAGCGTTTTCCTTTCAACAACTAAAACATTGGATAATTTCTAATGTCCTAAATTGGAGAGATCAAATATTTTTAAAATTACACCATGTTTGGATATAATTAACAATTGAATTTGAATTTGTCAAAACTGATGTTGCAAATAAAATGTTTCTCTTTTTTCCCTATTTTAATTTTAAAGAGTACTTACTTGGAATTTTTAAATTTGATCTAACTGTAATACACTCTAATACAATCAAATTCTTCGCTCACACAGAATCTAAAATTACAAAATTAACATAATACAAACAATTTCTTTCGTTATTTAACTATATAGAATATGGAAAATATGTATGTATAGGTACATTTTCTATCAAAATTTTCTCAAAATGCTGATGAAACGGATCGTAAACAAACAATCGAGTGTTCTTTTAAATATGTTTTTATCCTTACAGTTTTTCACAGACCAAATAAATAATTTTTTTCTTAAATTTCAATATTTATATTTTCGTACATAAATTATTTTTTTTTTTTTATTTTTTTATTTATCATACATCCGAGTATCCGCCTTACACCTATTTTACCAGTGCTATCGTTTTAAAATAAAACGGCTAAAAAAACTTATTAATTCGCAAGTGTTTATTTGCGATAAGCGCTGTGCTTGCCAGTGCAGTGTTCCTATAGGTCAATTTATTGTTATTCACTATGAGGTATTTATTTTTTGGCTTTGTGTATGCACAACGACGATAGATTATTTCCAGTGTCTGATAATATACGCTAACCATGATTGTGTAAGTGTATAGGTTAGTAAAAAATATTGACTGTAAACTGCAGAATAATAGTTTTCTAGTTTTCAAGCCATAAAAAAATTTCAATCGGATTGTGTGAACAACTTTAAAATATTTAAATATTACAATAACATATCGCGTATTACGTTATGTTGTACTATTTTTCTTATATTAATATATTATGTACACCACCATGATTTCATGCTGCCGCAAAACAAAGGTACTAAACTCCGAAAATGTTCTCACTTGATATTATTATAATATTATTAATTATTACCTACTGATGCAAACGTAATAATAAAAATGACCCAAAATCGCATATTCGTATTGTTTATAATATAATATTATTATCAATAAAATCATTTTCATGGTCTTACCATGAAGCCCCACAGTGATAATATTATATTACACAGTTAAGGGGATTGGAAGCGGCGATTTTCTGTCTTTATCTAACACACGTGGAACATAGGATTATAGACGTGTTCTATGTCCAACGTACCGATTAATCTAATGAAGCGATAAGAATTCTGAAAACAGATTTGAATTTGTCGTCAAGTCTACTTGAGATCGACTTTCCCACATTTTTGATATTGTCCCACCAATATCATAAAAATGATATATTATAAAAAGTACTTAAAAAATTTACAAATTTCAACTTTTGGAGAAGTTTAAATCAAAAAATCAAAAATGTGGGAAAGTCGATCTCAAGTAGACTTGACGACAAATTCAAATCTGTTTTCAGAATTCTTATCGCTTCATTAGATTAATCGGTACGTTGGACATAGAACACGTCTATAATCCTATGTTCCACGTGTGTTAGATAAAGACAGAAAATCGCCGCTTCCTATCCCCTTAACAATTCAATTGTAATAATATAGGAGGTCCTTGTAATACTATTATATTTATAGAAATAATGTTTTACACGTCGCATAGGTACCTACGCAGGGTTTTCGTAAATACTAATTTACAGCAACTTCGGCGCTAAATGTTGTTTACAAGTCTTAAGACTCCTCTAATTAGAGCTGTTGTAGGAATTGACACTGTTGTGCAGATATAAGAGAAAATATTACGTGTTATAGCTGTCTTTAGCTGTTATCCCCTTTAATTGGCAACGATCGTCGAACACTATAGTATAAATCGAGTAGAGGTATATGCCTACACAAATTCCATAAAATACAGAGCACATATATTTTAAGCACACGATATACATACAAACTCGTAGACTTTGTTCATAATACAATAATTAATAATAATTATTAAAATATTAGGCGCACGTAGGTATAATCTATACAATGTTTAGCGTTCACGTATACAAGCAGAGCAAAATATTATTGAAAAGAGTACATGATTATAACCACCAACGTTCTTCCCGAACAAACAGTCACAGAGCAGTTGTAGGCGTCTATAAAAATAATTGTTAAGGAATAATAACCTCTATGGGTAATCAGAGAAATACAGTGAGAATTATTGGGCTATGGAAAGGGACTAAGTGAGCACTAAGTTGTAAATGGTTAGATAATTAAAGAAACCGTTTAGCTTTAAATTAATTCGGATCTCTGTCAAAAATAAATTTTATTAAGTATAAAATAAGTTTTTTCCTTTTATTTACTATTCACTAATTCAGTTCGGCACAATCATATCCACATAAATCATACATTCTTACATACAATTTATTTACTGTGCATAATGTTATGATTTATTATTTTTATTTTATTAACTCCAATCGGCAGTTTTCTGTAAGCAGATGATGCATTATTTTGTACTTACATATGTTTTTTTTCATTAATATTATAATATTCAAATATTATAAGAGCAGTATTAAACTACATGTGTGTAATGCGTATATTGTATATAATACCAAATATATACGGAGCCACGTAAACTAGTTCATTTGTTTTTAAATTAAATAATACTTACTTAAATGCGTTATTAAATATTTAAGACTAACAAATTCGAAAATAGTAGTTGGGCTAAAATAATAAATGCCTAATAATAATTATTATATTCATTATAATTACGGATTTCCATCCATAAGTATATATCCTATATCGACTCAAAATGGGGGTTATGGGGGTGATATCTTCCCTTCCCCCGGATACCAAATTTTGTACAAAATACAACAAGTATAGTATAGTAATATGAATAGGTATAATATTATGTGTATACTAAATGCATATTAAATATTTCACATACCCCCATTGAAAATCCTAGATACGCTACTGTTGTGGACTAATTCGACCGAAATGGGCAATCCAGTAGATTGGATATAGGGTTTGGTATGTTTCCAAACGTGGTTTAAATTGCTCTCTAAACTTTTCTGATATCTCTAAAAACAATCTCTAAAACTTTCGTCAAAATCGGTGGAGTAGTTTTTGAGTCTATAAGTTACAAGCATAAAGACAATGGCCTCTTGTTGTACATTTGAATGACAAACATAAATTATATTAAATATTATTTTATCTAAAAAAAATCCTATAACAATGCACGCCAGTCTATATAGGTACTAATTTTTTTCTTAACTTGTATTTCTATAACTAATGGTAAAACAATATATAACCAAAAAAATTATTTGATTTTAGTGTGTCAAAACGAAATGGATGTGTGAACCACTCTATACCAACCTATCAAAAAAGTTAGAAGAAAGAAGCTACCCCTTGGTCACTAGGAATCTATTTATAAAACTTTTATTGAAATGGGTCCAGTTATTTCTGCGATTAGAGAGTTTAACAATAAACAATAATTTATTTATTTCATCAGTTTTGAAACGATAGTATAGATACAGAATAAAGATATAGATAAATAGGTTTAAAAAAAATATTATTTTCGAAATGAATGCATTATTGTTCTACGAAACTGTATAATACACAATATAATAGATTTTAGGTGTACATAGTCGAAGGAAATCAATAAAACACCAAAGATATAAATGTAAGATATGACACGTGTTGATGCGTACGATATAATAATATATCTTTATAATTTTATATTAAATTATGTCACATAGGTATGGTCGTTACAGGATATACGGCCATTAAGATACCTCGAAGATGGTGTTTGTGTACTCCAATATACTTGTCTTATACTAAAATTCGATACGATATCATGACTATATATTGTATTATGTAATATGTGTAGCTACATAGGGCATACGTACATATTATTGTATACGATATGCCATATGCACATTAGATATATGTATAATATTTAGTATTAGAACTTGCAGGCATAATACTATTACGTATTTGATGAAATCTATTCGTAAATATTGAGCTTGCACTTTGTATCTACTGCAGTATTATGTACACACATCAGAGAATACGATAATATTATATTCTGCATGATAATAATAATAATAATAATATTATATGACTGCTGTTGCCGGGTACATTACGACGATCATAGAGTTTTGTGTGTGTAGTATGGTATACGTACAAGTAGCTCCGAGTTGTGGTGCACTTAGCCCGTCCTAATTTAGCCGGACCCCCCGCCAGCGCCTCGGAGGCCACCTACTGTCTGTCGGTTAATTACAATCTAGATTAATAAGAGAGAAGCCTGCAGGCTCTATTGCGGTCTTCGTACTGGAAATTTAATCAACTCTGTCGTCGTCGTACTATGGCCAGCCGTCTTCCACATGCGCGCGCACGTGCAAATACGTAAAATAATAATAATATACAATATAATATACAATATAATGTACATAGATAGGTATAATAGGCGTCGTACGTTCTATTGATATAATATATACTGTATAGTGTTCTGTTCGTGTAATAAATATGCATTTCGATTTTGATTTTGTTGGACCGGACCCGTGACAGGAAGACTGGCGAGCTCAGATCGAATTTTGAATTTCGTTTTCGTGTGTAAGACT